AGGTGTTATTATTCTTAGTGAGATCAGAGTTAGGCTCATTCAAATAACAGGAATACAGGAACTGGAAAAATCCCTATGCTTCCCTCTGATACAATTTAAGCTGTTCCCATTTCTCCAGATGTCCCTGGTAGAACCCACTGACCTGAGGATGGATTGGGTGTTGATGGTACAGTCAGGAGTCTAATACTCAACTGGGAAGCAGATACTGAGGGATAGGACAGCTATATACTCTTGCCCTGGCTCAGCCTTTAACCCTATCACTCACTGAATGGTTGGGCAGGCAGTTCTGAACTAACAGGAATCAGGAAGAGGACAACCTGGGTTGGAGGAATGCTAGAAGCTTCAGCCAGGAGGGATCTTGGGAATGAGTATGACCTAAGGGGAACATGTGTGTGTGTGTGTGTGTGTGTGTGTGTGTGCGCGCGCGCTATGCAATGGGGTTGCATATCTGGGAGATGGAAATCACAGCCTCATCTGTGAGCTCTACTCTGCCCACCACATTCTCCCCCCTCCCAATTCTAGAGGGCCATAGTCATGCTAGAATTTGACATCTGAATTTCAAGTTATAACGTAAAATATGAAGGGAGTTGAAGGCAGATGATTTGGGGAGTTCAGACAATGGGTTGAATGAGCAAGGCTGTCTGAGGCTGTGACTTCCATTGTACAAGTCCAGCTGCACAGTCTCGCTAGAATGGTGTAATGGCTGATGGTGGAGTTTTGGAGAGTATGAAAGACACACAGACATGGGGATGAGCTAGTGGTAAACTGGAGAAATAGCCTAGAATAATCTTGTGCAGAGTCCTAGAGGAAAGGCAGAGACAACAGGCCATTCTTAGATGGGGAAAGGGACTGCTAATTGCTAAACTTCAAGTTAACTACAGAGACCATGTGCCTATGAGCACACGGGCATGTCCCGGGGAGTGTCACCCTCCTGCCTACTGAAAGAGAGAGTGTTCTGTGCTCATATGCTGCTGGCCCAAGGTTCAAATACTCACTCACTGACCCTCCTGCACTATGCAGACAGGAATGACTGAGGGGCTTTGAGCCCAAGGTCTCTAGCCACCCCAAGACTCAATGCAGTCCTACTCCTCAGCTCTCCCCTCTCCCTCTGCTTCCTGTCACAACAGCGTCATTTCTGGCCCCAAGTGCATATGCTATGGGTCTAGGTCCCAGCTCTAATTCACACTAATTTTCAAATTGCTCAGGGTCATCTCCCTCCTTTCTAGAAACCCATTTCAGAAAGAAGGAAACAGCTATTAACTGTAAGGGCACTTTTCTGCCCACTGCCCATCTCTAGCTTGCTGAGGGCTGATTGATGACCTGAGACATAAATTCCTGGGGGAAGGATTTGAACCTCAAATTGGAGTGAGAGGCAGGTGGGGGGGAAGGTGTCCTCCCATTATGCCACAGCATCGGCAGGGGCCACAATGCCCTTCTGTGTCCAGAGCCAGGAGCACTGCCCTGGGCAATCTTCTTCCGGCCACCATGTACTCTTCCGAGAGACCTATTTCTGCCTGTTGTCAGACCATATGCCATGATTTCAGTCCACTCAATTAGTAGAAGGCTCTAGGGCACTTTGGTTTGAAAACTAGATGTATTTGATGAGGTTCTGCTAAAGCACTCAGAAGCAGAGCCCCTTTCTTATTGTCTCCTGGGAGGAAGATTTTGGCTTCTATAGCCCCGGAGACTGTAAAAGGAGAAAGAGAAGTTGGGTATTTGGAGGCTGCCATACCCATCTTGGATGTATGTGTACAATGTCACCCAGAGGAGAGCATTAGTAGGGGTGGAGGGTGGAGTAAAGATCCCAAACACTTCTGGGCTGCCAGAAATGTTCAAATAACACCCACACCCAGTGGTATTAGGAGTCAGAGCACTGCTGGAGGTAACCCACAGCTCTGATCCCAGTGCTCTCCAGGATGTTCAAGTCTGAATGACTGGAGCATGGGGCAGATGAGAGGAGAGGACTCAGGATGTCTGCCACTGGTGGCGAAAGCATGGAGAAGAGGCTGGTTGATGCTGCTGGGGGTGTTTGGAGGTTGGCTATATGGTTGGATGCAAGTTGCAGACATGTTTCCCTTTACATCTTTGCCATAATTTTCAACGATGGCATTCATAAAGAAATGCTTCTTGTGACCTACTAAAGGAGAGACATTGTTTACAATGTGAATGGCTTATAACATGCTGCAGTTTTTATGTGTAAAAGTAACCACTGATGGAATGGCTGCCCTGACTGGAATACAAAACTGGGAGTTGGGAGCAGGGAGGGGTGAAACTCATCAATTGTATCATTCATTTACAAATTATAATTTCTTTATTGTAATTGAAGTTAGAAGAGCACAAAACACTATATGATGCCCATAGTATGACTGATTTGAAACAAAGTCTTAAAATACAGTAGAATCTTTACAATACTTTGTAATGAAATGTGGAATGAGACTGTGAAATCTTTGTTTACTGATTATCTCAAGGTAGAGAATTTAAAAGCTGTGGAATTTAAAGATGAGTTTAACAAAAGGACAAGTATTCCAAATTTGCTGACCTCTGATGTGCTGGCTTGTGATTGTCACAGATGCCTGTAGACATATGTGCACGTGCACACATACACACACACACACACACACACACACGCACACATACAATGTATCCCTTCAGATAAAGGTGATATTTTCCCAATGAATATAATTGTGTTTTAAAAGAACCATGTTAAAGGGAAAGACTTTTGAAAACTGATGTTTGGAACTGTTTCCATTTTCATGTGATTTTAATGCCAAAATGAAATGTCATTGTCATGTATATGGACTGTGCTAACCATAGTCTTCAAAATTAAGAAATACACTTTTAAATACATTTTATAATCTTCCAGATGAAGAGTTGTTAAAAATATTCACACAAATAACTGATGACAACATCATAGAGAATGTGGGCTTCATGGAGAAAGAAGAATCTTCTGGTGGAATTTCACATTTGTGAAATTGGTAGATGGGATTTAAACAGAGAATTGTGATTTAGTAAGTGTAGTCAAAGAATTTTTCTATTTGGGTCTATTTATCTTTGTGAGATATCTTTTTGGCAGGGGGCAACAACAACCATTAGGACTAAGTATTGACACTACCTGAACTTAAAAAGCATACTTTGTAGTCTCATAAAATACTAAACTAAGATTTATTAAAACCATTTTTAATCCTGTTACTCTCCCTCAACAGGTTTTTGCAAATAACTTTATTTAAAAATTTTTAATGCTTATTTATATTGAGAGATTGTGTAAGCAGGGGAGGGGGGGAGAGAGAGACAGAGAGACAGACGGACAGAGAGAGAGAGAGAGAGAATCCAAAGCAGACTCCACAGTGCTGGCGCAGAACTCCACTCATGCTTTAACTCACCAATCGTGAGACCATGCCCTGAGCTGATATCAAGAATCAGACATTTAATCAACTGAGCCACCCAGGCACCCCACAAATAACTTTAAAGTGAAAGGAAAAAGATATATCTCACCATTCATTAAAAATTAAGTATCTTTGGGGCACCTGGGGGGCACAGTCCGTTAAGCATCCGACTTGGGCTCAGGTCGTGATCTCATGGTTCCTGAGTTGAAGCCCCCACCCCTCCCCCCAACCCTCACCGTAGGTCTCTGTGCTGACAGCATTGAATGCTTGGGATCTTCTGTCTCCCTCTTTCTGTGCCCCTTCCCCACTCATGCTTTCTCCCTTTCTGTCTCAAAAATAAATAAACTTTATTTTTTTTTTATAAATTTTTTTTCAACGTTTATTTATTTTTGGGACAGAGAGAGACAGAGCATGAACGGGGGAGGGGCAGAGAGAGAGGGAGACACAGAATCGGAAACAGGCTCCAGGCTCCGAGCCATCAGCCCACAGCCCGACGCGGGGCTCGAACTCACGGACCGCGAGATCGTGACCTGGCTGAAGTCGGACGCTTAACCGACTGCGCCACCCAGGCGCCCCAATAAACTTTATTTTTAAAAAATGAAGTATCTTCATCTTTACCACATCCTTTGGCAGTTTTAGGTGTGCTTTATAATACACAATATATTAATACAGTTGCATGTTTGTATCATTTATAAATAAGTAAATTGTAAATATCAGGCTGCCAGTTAGAAGGAATAAAACCTGGTACTTAGATGAGGCAGCCATGTGACAACAGTTGGCACAGTGAGGACACAGTGGGTGCTCACTAATGACTAGTTCCATTTCCTCCTTTGGTGACAAATTTGATGTGCGAGATGAAAAGGAGAAAGAGTCAAGGATGGCCCCCGCAGTACAGCCTGGGGAGTGGGAGGTGGTGCTATCACTAAGACAGGAAACACGGGAGCAGAGGCAGGTTCTGGTATGTTCTTGGGAGGAAATTAGGAGTTTGAGTTTGGGCCTACAAACCTCTAGTGGAGATGGACCCCAGGAAACTGATGTGCTATCCGCAGCTCTAGGACTTCCTGGGCTGGAGATGAGGTTCAAAAGTCGTTAGCAGTCGGGAGGTTGTTAAAACCGGAGGACTGGATGGGCCCGCAGAGGACAGAGGAGACAGGCAGCTGTGGGACCGGGGGCGGGGCGGGCCCCCCCCCAAACCACAAGGAAAAGCCAAGCCTTGGAGGCCAAGAAGCTGCAGTCACCAAGCTAAGTAGAAAATTTGGAGAGAAAGCGGCAAGCGCCAACTCTGGAAACTTTTGTACGCCTAGCGCTCCAGGGAGGAAGGTGTGGTCAGCAGGTTCAAATGCAGGGGAGGGGGGAAGAAGGGGCTACACGGCACCCATTGGATTTAGCAACTAGGAGGTCGGTCGGGACTTGGAAGGGCGGGTGTGTAAGCTGGAGAGTGTTGGAGGAGTATGTGAGTGGGTGTATGTGCGTACGTGTGTGTGAGTGTGTGTGTGCGCGCGTGCTGGGAGGGGCAGGAAGGTGATCAAGGGACCAGACGGAAAGCCGATGCTTTCAGGTCCGCTCAGCTACAGGGAGTAAGTCACCTGTCTGGGGGCCGTGGCCCCAGACTCTTACCTTGAGAAACGTCCTGGCCGGGGAGGAGGTTCGGGCGAGTCCGAACACTGCGGGGAGCGCTCTCGGGGCCCGGCGGGTGGCAGGGGAGGCGAGGTCGGAGGAGCCCGGCTGGAGCCTGACCCCGGGCTGCGGCGGGCGCGTTTCCGGCCGGCGGACAGGGCGGCCGCCGCGCCCCTGGCGCTCTCAAGTTTCCTGTTGGCAGCGCCAACCCGGCGCCTCAGGTAGCGGCGGGCAGGCCTGGTTGGCAGGCGGCGGGCAGGCGGACCTGCGCGGCGGCGGCGGCGGCTCGCCCCTTGCCCCTCTGCTGCCCGCTCGTCGCCTCTCCGCTCCGCGCCCAGGTAGGGCACCGACTGGGGCGGCGCGCGGCTGGCGGGCTTCCTCCGCGAGGAGGCGGCTCTCCTTCTCCCGCCCGGCCGGCGCGGGGCCTCGGAGGTACGGCAGCGCGGGCGCTTGAGCTCCGCGGCGCCGCGGCCGCAGAACGCTCGGTCCACACCCCTGCCGCGGGGCTGCACCGCGGGCTCCCGGTGAGCAGGAGGGGGGGGGGGCGCGGCCTGGCCCCGGCCCGGCCCCAGCCCGCTGCGGTGCCGGGCAGCCCCTCCGCGGCGCTCGCCTTGTGCCCTGCTCAGTGCCGCCACCTGCGCTCCAGCCCTGCGGGCCGCCCCCTGCGGGCCCACGGCAGGGCCCTGGCACCCGAACCGGATGAGTGCGCGCGATGCTGCGCTGCTGACCTTGGGCCCAAGGCCCCTGCTGCCCAGGACGCGAGTCGGAGTGCCCCGAGGTCGGAATCTCGGCTCTGGGCTTCCCAGCCTACTCTGGCGACGGCGCTGACCCCGGACTCAGCCCTGCCTGGGTTCTTGCCTGTATTCCTGCCTCTCTCTCTGCAGTGGCCTGAGCGCCAGAGACCTCAGGTGAGCCAGCCTCATCTCAGCTCCCTGGCGGCCTACATTCGATTCGCAAGGTTTAGAGAAATTAAGGGACATGCCGCCACTTAAGCTCCCGGACAAGTTTCTAGGTGCTTGAGGACTGGCCAGATGCCCACTGCTGGGGTGGACTTCCACCTAAAGGCAGGGGAATGGACAGAATGGCAGGGTGATGGGTTCAGTTGAGGCCTTCATCCTTACCTCTTTTGGCCGTCTCCCACCATGGGACATGTACTGGCCTCTGAAAGTCTGCTTTCTGCCCTTGCACTTCCTGGTAGCTGCTTTGCCAGTGGAGCTCCCACGCTCTTCTTGGCTGGCAGAGGCCTCTGGGGTGAATTTCGAGGGACTGTGGAATAGAAGAGGCTTGCTAACTACAGTGTCATTTCCTCAAATTTTTAGGTCTCTGTGTGTATCTGGAAGCTTGGGGGTGACAAATTAGCAAAGAAGCCAGGTGAAAGCTGCGAGGAAGGAATTTTAGTGTGGTCCTGAGCCCATGTTGGCTATCCCCCTTGACGTGGTGGCTAACAATTGGCCAGCTTCAGGGAAGAGCTGTCAGCAGCTGGAGCTCTCATGGGAGAAATTCCTCCCCTGGCTGTGAAGCATCAATGCTGAGTGGTAGTTGAGCTATTGAGCCAGTCAGACAGAGCCCCTATCAGCTCTCACCTCTCCAAGTGTTGACAGCAGGTTTGGAGTAATGAGCTTGGCCTGGTTATAATTCTGGGTGAAACTCTGAGGGTCTGGCTTGCTGTGAAAATGATGGTACCCCGCTGCCCTAAGAATCATGGAGTTTGCATCAATGGGTTGCTAGGAGACTCTTGGACCTCTTAGCCCCTTCCTCAGCATACCCTCAATCCTTCTGAGATCCTAGATAAGGGATGAGTAGCTTTCAGCTAGGTCAAAAAGTTCTTTTAGAGATGAGGCCTATTTTTCTTGTCCTTACACTAGGGGAATCACTCTTCAAATGGCCTCAAAATCAATCCCAGATATTGAAAATATCATGGGCAGATAAAATACAGCCTTAGGATTAAGCAAGTAGATACCTATACTCTCCTAAAGCTACTCATGGCTGTCCTGGTTCTTTCCTTGAATATATTAATCTCTTAGATCTTCTGAGTGCTGGCTGTGTATCAAGGAGAGCAGACCATATCTTTGGGCTTTGATATACAAGGGGCTAAGGCATAGGAAGATGGGCTCATGGCTGGAGCACTAGCCATACAAAGTCAGCAAGAAGTATCAATCCTAGAGGAGGAAGCTATTTCTCCTGATCTGGTTTCACATTCAAACGTGGTTTCCTTCTCATTGCTCCCAAATAGGAGCTTGAGAGAGTGCCTGGCACACAACAGTGCTCAATAAATAATGTTGAATAAAAGGACTCAGTGTCTGGATGAAACTTCATGTTTTGTTTTCCCAGTTGGACTCTGTCTTGTACCGGATACCATGATGACGATGATGTTGATAAATAACTTTATGATATAAAGCACATACTATGTGCCAGGCACTATTCTAAGCGTATTTACATATGCTAACTAAGTTATTCTAGCGTATTTACATATGCTAACTCAGTTAATTGCCATGACAACCTATGAGGTTGGTGCTCATAGGGAATAAAACTAAGCCAGAGAAATTGAGTAACTTGCTCAAGGTCACGCAATTAAGTTGTGGAACAGGATTCAAACCCTAGGTAGTCTGGCTTGAGTCCATATACTTAACCATATACTGTACTGACTCTTGACATCCCCATAGATGGATTAATCACTTAGCTTATTCACTCATTCATTATTTTATGCATGCATTCATTCATTCAAGGAATATTTATTGATACCCACTATATTCTAGGCATGGGGATACGATAGTGAATGAGATGAACAAGATCTGTCATGGAGCTGATTTTTAGCAGGTGGAACCCTTTTGTCCAACTGCCGTGTGAGTCATGCACACCTCAGGAAGACAAAGAAGGAAAATCAACTCCTATCAGAAAGCTCAAAGCATCATTTCAGAAAAAGGGAGAGTAGTATATTCCTTGGTGAGACATAATTTGATTCTAGCCTTTCCTGTCTTGGAGTTTGTGAGGGGCACTTAAGTGATAAAAGTGATGCAGTCTGGTCTCCTGGGAAGGAGATACAGGCCCTGGGCCCGGTTGTCATAGATTGTCTTAATTTTTATTCAAAAAGGAAATAAGTCTTTGAGCTTGAGACCAGTACTCCTTAGTCCAGGGAGACTTCTGGGCCACAAGGAGCAGTGACATATTAAGCTCAAGATGGATTTGTGAGGTCATGAGCAAAGTTTGCACTCCCAAGACAAGCCACATTTTCTTCGTAAACTGCCACTGTTCTGGAGGGTCCTCTATCTCTTTGGCACTAGCAGGACCCTTGGCCATTGTCCCCACCTACGTTACCTTCGCTGGGCTGCTGCCCATCTCTGTCCAGACCTAATGGAGTGAGTCTCACACCCCTACCTGGGCCTCAGGAAGGCAGTTTTCTCTATGTTGGAAAATGAAGGCTCAAAGCGGAAGGCATTTTCCAAAGCCTATGCCACGGATATTAATAGGTGTTTTTTCCTATGGTGGTTATGGTCAGAGGGTCAAATAGGTGTGTTGGGCTAAACAAAGTCAAACAGCTTTCTTTACTATGGGACTCTCTGCTAGTAGAGATTGTGCATGAATCCCCGTAAGGGATTATTGTGTGCAGCATTTTCCAAGCCTTCTGTCCTTTTTTTTAAATTGTTTTTAATGTTTATTTGTTTTTGAGAGAGAGAGACAGAGCATGAGTGGGGGAGGGACATCAAGAAAGAGAGAGAGAGAGAGAGAGAGACAGAGAGAGAGAGAGAAGAGACACAGAATCTGAAGCAGGCTCCAGGCTCCGAGCTATCAGCACAGAGCCGGACGTGGGACTCAAACCCACAAACCATGAGATCATGACCTGAGCTGAAGGCAGATGCTTAACCGACTCAGCCACCCAGGCACCCCATCTTCTGTCCTTTTATGTTCTATAGACTACACTTTGGAAAATGCATGTTTAGACTGAGGCTATCTATGGTCTGGTTACAGGTGCAGAATAGAATTCCCTGAACTGGATCCAGGTAGGTTCTCAGATGCATGGGCTAGGATGCTCCCACTACAGCCTCCTCCTCCTCCCCCAAAAGGAAGGAATCACTTGCCCCACCTCCCCTCTGACAGAGCAGTACTAAGGGCTTGGACCTTTTCCCCCTATGCTTTAAGTTCATTCAATTATTTAATGAATAAATATCCCCCTCCCCCTAGGTTGCTTGTAGCTTGCTGATCGCAGTGTTTATGAAACAGCTGTGAGGACAGGTGGGTCATAATCTTTGGGTAGCTAAAGCCCAGCAACAGCCCGAGGATCATGTGTCAACCCTGTAATCCTGCTCTGCACACACAGGAATCATTATGTGGGCTTAGGAAGGCACAATCTCACAATTGGACATGAGGAGGTGACTCAGGCCCAAGTCAGGGTTGGAGCTAGCCTCCTGGTAAACAACTGACCCATCCTTTCTGGGCTCTTGTCCCCAGGATTTCAACAGCACCACAGAAATAGCCATTTTGCTCACGGTTATTTCCCAGACCCGTACCATTTGTCTAAGTCACTGTGTGGGTTCTGAGGCTTGCTTTTAGAGAACTGATCCTGTGGGTCACTTGAGGCAGCTCTACCATTCCCAGGGAGAGCAGCAGCTGCTGGTGGCAGGGTGGCCGAGTGCAGCCAGTGCCCAGGAGGCTAGTCAGAGCTGGAGGCCCTCGTGGGAGCAGACAGCGGCAGTAAGAGGGGAGGACGGGGCAGGTGGGCTCAGGGGGGTCAAGAGGGACATGCTTCTTTTCCGTGTGTGTGTGTGTGTGTGTTTGTGCACTCGCACGCATATGCTCATGTACTCGGGATCTGGTAGAGCCTGTCCAGGCTGCCCAGTCACCTGTGATGTCAGATTCCTTCAGGGAAGAAAGGAAGGAGTGGGACAAGGCATGGCAGCTTTTCATCCTAGCCTGCTCCTGTACTAAGGAGTCTCCTCTCCTAGAGTCACTGTCCCTTTCCTGGGAAAGGAGGGAGCTGTTCAAAGCCCTTGCTCTTTTAGAGGAGGAGGGAGAGGAGGAACTCTATTGATAACTGGGCTCAGCGCCACTCCTGTCAGTGCTGGGGTGCCTTCAGGGAGGTTGCTTTGGGGAGCCTTGTGAGGGAAGGCAGGCCAGGTTGTGCCGTAGACAATCCCCTTGGTAGAATGAACCTGGTCACCAGGCCAGGCCTGAGGAAGCAGCAAGGGTGATGGTGTGGCACGTTCCTGCTTGGCTTTCAGAGGTCTGGGCATTAGAGGGAGGCTGTGGCTTATCTTCTGTGCTCGGTCAGGTCAGAAAGGCTGAATGAACTGTTGTGTTGGGGCAGCGGCTTTGTGTCTTGCTCTGGAGAGGGCTGAGAACAGGGCCAGGACACCGCGTTCAGCACGCAGCAGCTATGGATAGCTGGCATTACCTGGGCCCTTTAGGAGTCTTGGAAATTTTCCACTTACATTTCATATTCATGGAAGAATTTCCAGCCCAGGCACTTCCTGCTCTTGCTCACGGCAGCTCACAGATATGCAAAACAGAGACCTCCCACCCCAGCAGCAGCAGACAGGACCCAGCCAGCTGCACTCACACGGACTCAGCTCAGCCTTCCGGGCATACACGGCCCATGGCCTGAGGGCCTCCCTCGCCTGTGTGGCATGCTCAGGATCAGCCATGGAGACTCCAGCCCCAGGCTCAGGTCTGTGTCATGGGTTCTGACAGTGGGAGCCTGGCAAGAGCAAGAAACAGCTTCATTTGTGTAAGGAGGGGATTTGAGTGGTACTGTGCTTCCATTCTGGAGGGGCTATGGTGCCATGAAAAATAACTGTTGGTTGAAATGGTGGCATTTTATAGCTTTCTAACTTTGTGACACTTCTTTAAGCTCGTCACAGGGTGTCATTTGTAACAGTGAGATAAGCTGTGTCCCTAGCTGATTGAATTTATGGTTAAGCCTCCCAAGCCTGCCGGCTTCAGCTGACAAACGGTTGACAAACGGGTAAAAGCCAGGCTTGAAGAAGCAGCTGGAGCTGAAACTGCTTGGCATCTACAGAGCAGGCTTTCCTTGCATAAGCCTGCCCTGCCAGGTGTCTCTAGGTCTCAGAAGAGAGCCGGTCTGTGGAGGGAGGGTTGGCAGGAGGGAGCTGTCCGGAAGACAGATGTATAATGGGCTCCTAAGGCTCACTGACTTAGCCCAGCACCCCAGCTGGGTTACTTGATCTATACTAAGGTATGGAGTGAAGTCTTCACCACTTATTGAAGACACTGGTAATAATTCTGCAAGAGATTGATATGGCTTCTGCAACGAAAGGAATCTATCTCTATGGGGAAATGTTGCTATATGATCCTATCCTCGGGTCATTGATGTGCCTTGGGAATCTGGGGTGAGGAACTGTGGGATATAGCATCTTCCTGATAACTGACCACAGGACCTGTTTCACCAGCAACAAGTGTTGACCTTTCATGGAACCACGGTGGGAAAAGGCTGGTTTAAACTATTTAAAGAGAAAAGAAGATCTTTTGTAGAAAGATGCATCCCAAAATGTACGTTTAGTTGACTTCAGCGAGGTGAAAATGCTTCATGGAAAGACATGGCAGTCTGTCATAAGAGCCCTCAGGCACAAAGGACCCTCTACCCCATGCCCACTTCTGAGGAGGCCTGGTGGGCTGTGTCAGGCCTGGGTGTGTTTGTAGGGGAAAGGGCTATGGGGTAGGAAGGTGGTGGGGGACAGTTTCTGTCCAGGGCAAGAGCTAATGCAGAGATGGATCTCAATGCTGTTAATTCCCTTAGCTGGCCAGTGTCTGATGTGGATTAGGTGGGAGAGGACCCTAATTACCAAAACCTGGGATGTAGAAGTTTGATTTTCTTCCTAGTTTCCTTTCATTAAAAAAAACCTCTTCGGTCTATTTATTTTCTGGGGCACTTAGGTGGCTCAGTTGGTTGAGCGTCCAACTTCGGTTCAGGTCATGATCTCGCGTTTGGTGGGTTCGAGCCCCACACTGGGCTCTGTGCTAACAGCTCAGAGCCTAGAGCCTGCTTCGGATTCTGTGTCTCCCTCTCTCTGCCCTTCGCCTGCTCACACTTTGTCTCTCTTTCTGTCTCTCTCAAAGATGAATAAACATTAAAAAATATTTATGTTCTTTCTATCTTCTTTGTGTTTGTTAAAATGACATTATAACAGCATCAGTGATCAAAGTCAGATACTGCCTCACACATGCAGTCCTGTTATCTGGTCATCCGAGTATGTGTCTCTCTTCCAGCCCTTGTCTTGAAGGGAATGCATTTTCATTTCACTGCAACAAAAGCATGGGTACAGTTTTATGTATTAATTTTTTCATTTACTGTTATTTCACAATATTTTTTATGTGATTACACTGTCCTCATAATTATAATTTTGGTTGCTTGACTTTTTTCTTCAAGTGAATGTGCTCTTATTTGGACACTTTAAAGCTTTTTATATAAATAGTGCAGGTAAACATCTTTGTGCTTTTTCCTTCAGATTCTTTTCTTAGAAGCAATTTCTGGAACTGGGTTTATTCTGTCAAATGGTATGGATGCTTTATGGCATTTGCTGCCCCTTGCCCGAGCCCTGTTTGATGTCTACTTCTGAGATGCCCTGTGAGGTTGTAGAATGCTGCACTTGACCCGCAGCCTTAGAGTGGGGAGAGAGGTTGATGGGGTCCAGCTTCCTTTTCACCTAACAGCTCCCCCTGGCTCTAGTTCTGTGTCTTCCTCTCCATTTCTCTCTCTGTCACCTTTTTCCCCAAGCCCCGTTCTGATGATTTCCAGCTTCCCCTTCTGTGTGCTATCAGGATGTGGACGTCTCCACAGACAGCTCTGTCTCTTCCTCTTTGCAGGTCTGGCCTTCACTGTCTTGCTCTCTGCTGCTACAGATCAGCACAGTTACGTGCCAACTTCCTCCCTCCACAGCAACTCCCTCCCACTCAATCACTTGGAGGGGAGAGGCCCAGGAAAGCTATCGTCCTGGGTGTGGAGGGAAGGAGGAAATTGGATTCACAGTCAACGGGCTCACAGATGTACTTTGACTGGTGTTTGACCTGCTTTCTTCCTTCCTGTCTGTGTCATGAATTAGGCCCATGAGAATACCAGAGCAGCAAGCCTCCCTGGGCACCAGAAAGCTCTCTGGTATCTAGAAATTACAGCAGTTAGAACTGAGAGCGCCTTGGAGACTGCCTAGTCTCATCCCTTTATCTCACAGAGGAGAAAACTGTGAGGCACAGAGAGTGACTGTCCCAAGGCTGCTCAGTGAACCTCTCCTCCCCTGTAATTGCTTCCTTTCCTGGCCACACGGAAACAGGGCTCCTGTCTTACTTTC